GATAACTTTCACTTTTTCTATCATCGAAAAGTAAGGTAGCCAATAAGGATCTATTAGAAACTTCGGTAGGCTGGCCTGTAGCTACCCATAGGAAATGAACACATCATTCGTAAAAGTGTGTATCATGAGATTTAACCCAACATTCGAAATGAACAAAGTTAGATAGAATCACTGCCGATTATCCCTTGTGACTTAGTTGCAGTTAATCAAACATCACAATTCCGAAGGGATTTCCAACTCAAATTCATAGTTTGCCAATAACAAACCACGACTCATCGATAGATTATTGGCCTCATTCCAGCTAGTCATGCACGCGAAGGGACCTCCAATCATCAAAGACGATTGATTCATCTTTACTTCTCCAGACTCTCTATCCCTTCATGATCCTTTTTTTTTCATCGTGTTTGTAAACAACCTAAATCAATTTGACACACAATCGGACGATTAGAATGTCATACGAGACCACCGAAGTGGCTAACTCAAATATTCTCTTAATTGATTAGTTAAAATGTCCATTTAAAATCATTTCGAATAAACAAATTCGAGATAAAGTATAAATATGTTTACATTTGGGAGCTCCCAAAATAATTATAGCAAAATATTCAATCCAACATTTCAAAATAAAGTTACGACATGAATATACAAAAAAGGGGTCTATAAATAATACATGCCCTCTAAAGAAGATATCTCAAGACATACTCTGCTCTACACTCGATCAGGGAACTGCTGCTTAAAAAGGGCTCCTCGCCTGCTTCTTCTAAATACCTGCTCATGGAAACAAATTCCGAACACTGAGCTCACTGGCCCAATGCCACAGTAACTTATCGTTTCCTAAACATCAACCAAGGCTAGTTTTATGTCACCCTAATTGATCTTGTTTCTATTGTATTATAGCATTAATTTTGTTCTCACTTGTAGTCTTATTTGAGAGTAATTATTGGGTTCTTGGGAAACCTCATTTCCTCTTAAAGCCTTTTGAAATTTACGCCCCAAAATGTACTCTGGTACCGATACTAAGCCTCTCAGTATCAGTACTGTCCCTTTAGTATCGATAATCCTCTCACGTACCGATATCAAAATCAAGCACTTGAAAAATGGTCTCGATATCAGTCTCGTGGGTCTCGATATCGATACTCCTAAAATGAGTATCGATACTCTTTCATAAAATCCTCTTGATTTTATGCCTCTCATAAGAATAGTATTTGTATTGTTCTTCCAGTACAGATATTCACACTCGAAAATGTCTTGTTTGGGCACGAATTTGACACTCAAACTCTCCCAAACTATTCTATGACGTCCCCAATCATTATTTATGTTTTATGTGATTTACAAGGGTCATAAAAAGGGTTTTAAACATGCTAATAACAACAAAACATGAAATCTACCATGAATGCTCCATAACTCAACTTTAAGTTAAAATGCATATCCAATGACTCACAAATGATATGAAGAAGTTGTGAATGTGTTACCTTGGTTTCTTAGTTGCTAGAAACGTCCACCAATCACCCAATGGTTAATTTTTTCTTTCCTCTTGCTTTAGAGCTCTACCCCACTTCCTTCACTGGTCAAAGCAAGAAAATGAATTACTAACTTATCTAGGGGCTTGGATTAGAGTTAAGAACACTCCTTATACTTATCCATCGGAAAATGCTAGAATAACTTGATTCTCTTAAACCTCCCTAAAATCCATTTTTGGTTCCTATGCCTAAAACTTGAAATGTGAAGCTTAAAACGAAGCTTGAAGGATGGAGATTACCATTCCTACCTTTTCTAAACCAAACTAAGCTTGAAATCCTTAAAGATTCCATCTTTGTTTTACTTTGAAAGGAAGAGAAGACAAATGAAGAGTGTTTGGTGAGATTAGGGGTGGGTGCACGTGAAAATCATAAATTTGGAAGGGTTTTCATCTTTTATTTTGAAAATAGGTTAATTACATCTCTAGTCTTCCCTTTTCTAACCTACTATTAAAATGATCTCAATCCTTTAATAATTGTGCCTATCTCAAGCCCAAACCCAACTCAACTTGGTCCAAACTATTTTAAAAGGTATATGGGGATCAATTTATAAGTCTCAGGTTAACTCAAACTACTAACCTTGAATTTAGGCGTTATAGTGTTAAGAAGAAATTTTAAAGGACAAATAAGGAAGAAAATTTCACAAGAATTTCGCTGAAAAGAGTTATTGTAGATTGAAAATTAATAGGGAAAAAAAGAATTAAGGATTTTGCTCCAACTTTCCCCTTAAATAATCAGAGGATGCAACCCTTCCCAACGGTCACAATACATACCTCCAACCTACACCAATGATAGGGTAACAAGTGTATCAGCTTTCATCCAATTAAAAAAGCAAACATCATGATGGTTCCCAACAAAAGACTCCATAAATGTCATACGAGTCTCAGTTCTAGGAACTTTATGATTCATTCGACCAAGTTAGATAACTGTTGTACGTCCTTCAAATTTTCTCAGGAAAAAAGTGCCTCCATTTTCAATCCTCCATCTATTGAGGCCTCTGAAGTTTCATGTCCTCTAGATGGTTACAGTCCCTCGATCTGATTGCTGTCAATTCTATCACTGACTAAATCTATTCATTATATCAATCTATAAATAATCATCATCATTCTAGGTCTGACATCAACATTAAGAGGAGGTATATAAAGTACCACACAAAATATAAAAAAATATCTATGTTTTCCTCTCTTTGTATACACAAAATGAATTATCTTCTTCAATTTGTTATTGTTATCGACTGTGACTCTCTGTTCAAACTAGAAAAGAAAAATCACTTGCAACTGTTACAATCTCATTTATCCATCAATAAAATTAGTCCAGTGAAAATTTTGTAATTTAACCCCTAAATATTTATAAAATCCATCCTAGTCTCTTAATAAAATTATTGGTTGTCTCCGATAGTATGATTTATCGCACTTTTAATGGAAGAATCAAATCCGGACATTAAAAACTATATTATTAGAAGATTTGAATATCGAAAATGATTTAACAATAATCACAAATTTGAAATATGAATTCAAATTAAAAGTAAAGATTAAATCCTCGGATTAAACTCATAAGTTGACCTAACTTAAATATTACTGGCCAACTACAATGAAATATCATAATATTTTTCCCCATACTTTTTATTTATTGAAAAAATATCTAAATTCCTTGTATTTCTTTAAAAAAAAATTAATGTGGCTCTTGAATTCTTTTTATATTTAATATAGCTTTTAAATTAAAAAAAATTAATGTGATCCTTTAACCTACGATTTCTGTTGTTGATCGTTAGGATACTGATATAATACTTTACGATGCTAATATAACAATCTACAACGCTGATGTGGTGGTCCACCGAGACTAATGACGTGATTGATGTGCTAAATTTGTTTTTGATTTGACTAATTTTTTTTTAAAAATCAGGGTTTATTTACTTTTTTAGAAAAATATTTTAAGTTTAAAATTTTAAATATAAAAATATAAAAAATTAAATATAAAAATATAAAATTATATGTATGTATGTTAACCAGAGTAATTGAAAACATTATTGTTAGAGACGAAATTTAATGTGAGTTTTATTTATTTAGAGACCAATTTTAATTTTATAACTTTTAAATTTTATTTTTATAAGACTTTGTAATATTTATTTAATTCAATTTTATAAAACTTTAGTAAATAGAATTAGAAAGACATTTGGAGTTTAAAATAATCAATACTAAATATATAAAATAAAGTTGAGCATGATGGAAGAGTTCAAGTTTTTATAAATAAAAGTCGGGTTGAATTCAAGATAAACTAATTATATATATTTTTACCTTTTAATAATTTATTTTTATTTTTCTTATTTTTTTATATTTAATTTTTTGAAATTTTTATATTTTATATTTAATTTTTTTAAATTTTTTAAAAATTTAAATAAATCCCTAAACTTAAAAGATCAATTTAACTCTAAAACTTAATAAAAAATCAATTTAATCTATCAATCACGTCATCAACTACCGTAAATTGACGTAAAATGTCATATCAATATTATAATAATTGTTAGTCAAAGGATTACATTGAATATATTCTCCTAAATTTAAGAGTCATATTAAATATAAAAATAATTTCGTTAATAATTTTAAAAGGTTTAATGTCCAAATAAGTGCTCAAACTATACTTTTTTGTCAAATAAGTGCCAACATTTTTTGCCCATCCGGGTGCCTAACGTTACAAACATTACCCTTTAGGTGTCCAGGCCGTTAACGGCGTTAGTTCTCCCCGTTAAGTGACACGTGTCATAACCTGATAATTTTAAAAAATTTATATAAAATTTTAAAAAATTAAAATTATACATTTTCTGAAAAGAAAACACATAAATTTTGAAATAACCCCTAAACTTTGAAAATCTTCATTTCAACCCCTATACTTACGCCGACCACCGCCCTTTGCCATTGAAGAAGAATTTCACACAACCTCCCCTCGACTACCAAAATCCCTATGAAATCATGACCGGTTGTCGACAGATCGACGAAAAATCGATGTTTTAAATTCCGCAAACTGTAGGATGAAAATCGTAATCTCACACGATTCTGATGATTAATCGACGGCAACTACGACGACATGTAACTAGGATGATAGAAAGGACTATGTCGACAGCGGTGGTCGTGGACGGAGAGGGCGCCGGCGATGAATTAAGGTTAAGATTTGAGAATTTTAAGGTTATTTTATAATATAAGAAAAGTTAGGGCTCTTTTTTATAAATATAATAATATTTTTAACATTTTTAAAAAAATTAAATTTATCAGATTATGACATGTGTCACTTAACGAGGATAACAACGTTGACGTCTGAGTGCCTAAAAAGATAACGTTTGTAACGTTATGCACTTGGATAGAAAAAAAATGTATACACTTATTTAACAGAAAAGGTATAGTTTTGGCACTTGGCATTAATCATTTTTTAAAATGTATTCGATCAAGGCATTAGCTAGTTTTATATCCGCTCATTATCTAGATTTTTAACCCCACTATCACTTGTTCACGTTTCAGTATTTTCACAATTTAGCTTCGAAACCCTATTCAAGCAGCCCACAAATGGAGGGGATAGAGCATAGGATAATCGTAGTCAATGGCATAAACATGCACGTTGCCGAGAAAGGGAAAGGCCCTTCGATTCTTTTCCTCCATGGATTCCCAGAGCTTTGGTATTCATGGCGCCACCAAATCAATGCTTTCGCCTCGCTCGGCTACAGAGCTTTGGCTCCTGACCTGCGTGGATACGGGGAAACGGAGGCACCAGGTGATGCCTCGAGATACACCTATCTGAACGTGGTGGGGGATCTCATTGGTCTCTTGGACGTTGTCGCCGCCGAAGAGGAGCAGGTTTTTGTCGTCGGACATGACTGGGGTGCGCTCATCGCTTGGTGGTTGTGCATGTTCAGACCAGACAGGGTTAAGGCTTTGGTTAACATGAGTGTCGTGTTCAATCCTAGGAACCCTTATGGAAAGCCTCTTGAAACTCTCAGAGCTGTCTATGGTGAAGATTATTACATCTGCAGATTTCAGGTTTTTTTTTTGCCTTCCCCCACTTTGATTTCTCTTTTCCATTGAATTTTAATTAGTTATGTGCGACTAATCACTTTTTATTCTTTCTTTGGTTTTGGTTGTACTTTCCCTAAACTTTTTTATGTTGGGTTTACTGTTTGAAGTGTTATTTTAATCAGATTAGATTAAAATCATAGTTTTGGATTAATTAATTAATGATCTTCACAAGTGTCTGTAACTCTCTATTCATTGTAAAAATTTCATCTTTTTATTTATTTATTTTATTTCTAGTTCCTTTCGGAAGAACGTATCGAATATGAGTACTTCTGCAGGAGCCTGGAGTCATAGAGGCCGAGTTCAAAGAGAGAGGATATGAGAGGATTCTAAAGGGATTCTTTACATACCGTACACCAGGTCCCCTTCTTTTACCAAAGAGAAAATGTTTTGGACACCCAGACACTCCAGTAAGCTTGCCCTTATGGTTATCAGAGGAATAGTTCAAGTATTATATCGACCAATATGAGAAGAAAGGCTTCACCGGAGGATTAAACTATTACCGAGCTATAAACTTGTAAATATGTTTCTCCCTTCAAGAGTTTTGTTGTATTCTGTTCGGAACTTGCTTATGATGTTGATGTATCTTTGTTGTAGAAACTGGGAACTTACAGCACCATGGACAGGGAGTCAAGTAAAAGTGCCGGTTAAGTTTATCGCAGGCGACCTGGATCTGACCTACAATGCGCCGGGAACCAAGGATTACGTGCAAAAAGGAGGTTTCAAGAAATATGTTCCATTTCTGGAGGAAGTGGTTGTCATGGAAGGAGTAGCACACTTTCTCCATGAAGAAAAACCTGATGAGATCAATAAACATATTCACGACTTCTTGAAGAAGTTCTAGTTTGCTATATGAGATCTTCCCCTCTTTTTACTTGCAAAAGGGTGTCGTTTCCCATTTCCAGGGGTCAGTATAGACACTCGTACACAAGTCCGAATAATATATCTTTGAAGTATTCCCTGGACAGGTGAAACTATTGTATATTCCAAGTTATGTTGAACCTTGCTGGTTTGAAGCTGCACTTCAAGCGACTGTTATGAAATCTCACATAAAATTTTATTTGACTGACACAAACCATTACATTTAGAAAGTTCGAAAAGCTAACAACATTAGTTTTGAGTCGATTTCCGTATAATTCACTGAAAGACAGGTTCATAAACACAAGAATCATAGTACTATTATCAAGTGCCTACCCGTAGAATGATCCTCAGGGTTGTCCTTTGGAAATGGTTATGTTTACGTTTTCCTTTTAGCTGCTCAGGTGCTTTGGTTAACTCCAATGGTAGAATAAGCCATTCATACCCTGCTGCAGTCGAATCCAAAATTTAAAGGGTATTGCTTCAACAAACTCTTGCAGCATCATAGAGGCACTAACCTCAAGCGCTTTCAGGCTTTTGGCGTCTTCCAACATCAAAGCGAACATCCACAAGGCCTGTTATCCCAGCAGTTATCTTTTGTCCTACCATTACAGGGCCAACACCTTGTGGGGTGCCTGTGAATATTAAATCAAAAGGCAGCTAATTAAGACTTCGATCGAAGCGATCCCTTTTTGTTAATGAAAATTTATACAATAAATAAGCTTTCAAACCAAAAACTAAAATGAAAAAGGAGCAAAACATGTGTATATGCTAGAATTTACAACGAAACTAGAGCAAACCAACAAGTCACCCCATACCACACTATACAAACGTAATGGAGAAATTAAAGTTAACCGAGAGACGAGAAAACGCAATTTAACCATCTAAATATGCAACAAAATCAGGTAGGAAGTCCTCTATACCCTTCAAAAAGGGGATGTGATTTTTGTCAATGGCTTCTAAATATGTTCAAAGATAAATTTTTTTTGGGGGGGGGGGGGGGGTAGAAAGAGGAAATGCTTTAGAACCTGTTAATATGATATCTCCTTCAAAAAGTGTCATAATGGAACTTATGTAGCTAATGAGGTAAGGAATCTTAAAAATCATATCCTTGGTGGAACCCTTCTGTCGTATTTCTCCGTCTACCTGTGATGAAAAAAATGCATCTAACCTTTACAAGTTGGAATAAAGAATATTAAGTTGAAGAATTGCAAAAGTACATGAAAAAAAAAGGTGAAGTAAAGAAAACTAATGTATTAATTACTAACCTTTAACCACAGTTCCAAATTGTCAGGATCAGGCACCATAGATTTAGGAAACTGCAGAAGAAATTTCAAGTAAACAGAATGTAAATGGTAAATAACTTGATAGAATAAGTGAAAGAAAACCTATTCCTCTCGGTCCCTATTCGAAAAGAACATGCCTAGATCTAAAGGTCAGTAAACGGTATGTTATCCGCTCCTGCACATGCATGATTGGATTTATTCATCAGCTAAAAGCAATAATCACATGAAATTTGGATAAAAAGTAATCTTGTTTACTTTTCTAGTAGGAACAAAATATTGATTCTTACAAGCAGCGTGTGTTAAAAAATAGAAGATCTTCAAAACTAATTTGGGACATGTGCTTCAAAGGAAAGAGGAAAACTATTTCAGGTTTATTTCTTACAACAGAACTGATAGGTGTAAAGGTGTCCTGCCCTTTAGCAACTGTCCATGGAAGACCTGCAGACTGATAAATGTAACAATAAGGATTATCATTGACTAAAATAATAAGATAAATGGAATCATTATAAAATGAAAAAGCATCTGACCAATTAGAAATAAAAATACTAGTTCGCAGGAAGTAAAAATGAACATTTAGTTAAGATCCATAATGGTACAATCATCTGAATGAGAATTGTTGTGTTCCTCAAGGAGAAAAAATCATTTTAAAAGATCTTTATCAAAGAATGAATTTCAACTTTTCGATTTTCCTCAAGGCTGAATGATTAGGTCCTATAGCTACATGCTTCATCACATGTGTTATATACCATCTTCATTTGTTAACTCATCAATGAAAAGAGTAAATAGCAACTCAAGCTGAAGCTGGAGAATATCCAAAGGCAAACCGAATTCTCACGCGAAGGAATCACGCTTTAAAAGAGAGCTGATATGAATAACCTTTGTACCTTTGCAACAGATTGGATTTCCCTTGCAGTCATATCCAGTGCTAAAGCATAGCCTGAAGCACACAAAAAAATGGTCATTTAAAAATCAAAGTGATTGACAGGCAGCATCAAATGCTTCACATTCAAGTCATAACAAAATCCAATATTACTTTCTTCCATAATCATATTTTTCGCAGGAAAAGCGAGATCTTTTAAATCTTAAACCCACTTTCATCTTGATCTTTCAGCTCAAAAGCTTTACTTTCAACCCCAGAAATAAGCACTAAACAGGGTTCATGAATACCAGTCCATGGTTGTACCAGGAAAAAATTGAAAAGAACCATCTCATAAACTTCAATGGTCTAAACTAGAACCAGACATGTCATATTTTAGATAGGAATGATACGATATTACCCCCAGCATAATCCATGGCAGTGCTTATATGCACATCCCGAGCCTTTTGTCCGATCACAACAGCAAGCTCAACTTCATGATGTAAAGAATTCAATGGGTGTGGAACCTCAATTGTCCCTCCGTTTTCCAAATACGACGATGTCGGCTTTAAAAACAATACCGGCTCCTGGTGAAAAAAATCATAACTTCAATTTTCTTTCAATCCAACACTGGAAAAGATCAAATTTGCTCATTGTATACGGTAATAAATGGGAACTAGATACCTTGGGGACAGCGTTTCCTAGTTCTTTGGCGTGCTCGACATAGTTGCGGCCAACGGCGACGATTTTAGTCCCGAGTTCCAGGGGATTTTGTAAAGATGCTTCCGCCGCCATGTCTTCCTTTTCGGGGTCAGAAATTTGCAAAGAAAGAGAGAGACTTGGCTTCTTAATCGGCAACGTTTGATCTAATCGATTCGGATTGTGAGACATTTCAAATTAGTTAAGTTGGGTGTATTTTTTAGGATAAATTACTCTTTTAGTACTTAAACTATCAATTTTAGTTTTTTTTAATACTTAAATTTTTAATTTTTTCAAAATCATATCTAACATTAAATTTTTGTGTCATTTTAGTATCTTATTGTTAAAAGCGGGTGATTTTGTGACACCTTTTTATGGGTAAATTGCATCATTCATCACTCAACTATCTTCTCAATCTTATTTTGGTCACTAAAGTTTGAATTTTTTTAACTTAATTACTTAATTTTCAAATTACTCCTAATTTAAATACTCTAGCTTTCAAATTTAATTTTTTTATTTTAATTATATATTAATTAAATAATAATAAAAATGTTATGTCACAAAAATTATTAAAAAAGTAAATTAGAATGATTAAAATAGGAGCAATTTGAAAGTTGAGTAGTTAAATTGAAATTTTTTAAACTTTAGCACCAAAATAGGAGTGAGAAGATAGTTTAGTGATGAATGATGTAATTTATCCATAAAAATAAAGTGTTGTTAAGTTTTTAATGATGATGTACTAAAATGAAATAAAAATTAAATATTATGCATCATTTTAGAAAATTTAAAGTTTAGGTACTAAAACGAATCAAAATTGATAATTTAGATATTATATGTGTAATTTATCCATTATTCTATTGTCTTAATTTAGTTGGTCTAAACCTGTTGATCATGGTCCCTATTTGGATTTGTCTTAACAAATAAAAAGGATAAATTAGATGTTTAGTATTTTAACTATTACTTTTATTTTGTTTTGGTTTCATTTTGGTCTTTGCTGTTAAAAGATTAACAAAATTGCTAATGTAGTAATGATGGCGTGACATTATCTTATGGTGACACGTCAGCATCACTATTAATTGTTAGATCTGATTATAAGGTGACTCTATCTTTACAGTCCGCCATTGATTGTCTCTTTATCATAGATGATCTTTGGGGAAAGCTTTAGGCTAATCTATCACCCCAAGTTAAAGAGTTTGCATGGAGTTTTCTTTCGGGAAAATGTCACTTGATTCATAATGGTATGGAGCTACATGTAACACTTCCAAAATGTGGAATTGTTGAAGATATTGACTATATCATGCTACTTTTCTCTGCTTAGCTTGTTTGGTTGAAGCACATTCATAATTACTTTCCAGTTAATTCCAAGCATGTTCATCACCATCCATAATAATATATTGATGTTGGACCTTAGTATTTTCATTAGAGCCCTCTTCTCTAGCTTCAGGAGATTAGATGACATATGGGTAAAGTTTTCTCTCTCGCCTTACAACTATGGGAACTTTTCCATTTATTCGACAAACTCAGGCTTTTTTGGGTTGAAATCATATATTGAGGTTATCCATGCTCATAGCGAATCTATCAATGATGTTTATCCCTCTTTCTACTTGCATAGTTGTTGGATCTTCAACCAATGACCCTTTAAAATTTGATAAACTTGTTGGGTGAGTTGTAATGATTTAGTAAAGGATTCTCTGGTTGTCTCCTACTTTACCTTCAGGCATCCTTCCTCGGTAGGGGTTAGGAACCTTAATGTCAAGCTGAAAGTAGATTGGTTTTATATATCAGTGGTCATCCAATGATGACAATGGGTTACTCTACCAGTAAGATGTCAGTGAGTATAGTGGTATTGTGTTTCCCATTTTTTTATGATTATTAGTAGGTAGGGATGGACGAGGTACCTTATATTTTAGAACTTTTTATATGTATTTTCTATTGAAAATTTATTTTCGTTCCTGAAATTTTATAAGTTCAAGTTTGCCCTTCTCCTGACATAAAATCTTTCATCCGTCTCTTAGGGTTATAAATCCTTTTAAATTCATAGGTTAATTGGAAAAATTATATATTGAAGTATATCCTTATAGAGAGCCTCTTTCTTTGGATATCATTTTTCGACCACATTCACTTGGAATTGGTGGGTTTCACTACATTAGAAATTGTCTCTTTTACTGGAAGAAGAGGATCAATTATTCACTTAGAGAACCTAGTGGAACGTAGGTCAAGGCTTAAAATGTTTCAGTTGTTGGTAGAGGTTTCGATTGTAATGTTAGAGGATGTGTTGTAGATTGAACTGGTGATTGGCCTAATTTCTTCGACTTTCATATATCTTGTAGAAACTTCATACATCTAGTTTATATATTTAAGGCCATAATGATGTAACATAACAACTTGTGCTTGTTTGGCGAAATGACCCGTAAACTGTTGGGATCGTTCTTTGAAATCATCATTAGAATTTGTTAAAAGAGTGGTATAAGTTCTTATCTCCCTTTTAGAGGGTTCTTAGAACGACCTTGCACTTGTGTTCATCGGAGGCTCTCAGGATCTGTGTAACTATTGTACTAAGACAAATGGTTCATTGGGTCTTTTGTACCATCAAATATATCTTTTAGCAGTTTTAAAGTTTGGCAGATATGCCTCAGCTAGTATGTGATGTGCCAAAGGGCTCTTTTCTTGCAAGAGAAATCATGGGTGGCCTTCAATTTATTCAACTTGTCTATTTATCATTCTGAAATGCTACTGTCATATATCATTTTGGTGATTTTGGTGAATGGTCGAATGCCCTCACGAGACCTTTAGGGTTCAATTTACAAAATGTGGTTTGCTCTCTGCTGGTGGTGATGTTCGTCATCATTGGAAACCCTTTCTTCATCGTCCCCACGATGCCTGACACCTTGTTTATTGAGTGACAAGAGCTCGTTAAAGGCTTTTTTCATGGCCTCTTGTCATTGATGCTCAAATAGTGGTTGATGTTGTTGGATGATTTAAAAAACTCTAATATGTTCTTACTCTTAAAGTTGTCTAACTTTGACCTATAAATAAGTGGACAAGGTTGGATCCTTAAGAGAACATTTGTTGGGGGATTCATTGAGGTTGAACCCTATGTTAGAATCTAGATCAGGCTTGGAAACCTTATGAATATTGAGGGAATTTCTTGACTTCTTGTTCTTGTTGAGGATCATTGTTCTGAATTTATGGAGTTGTACGCTGGGGGTTCAGCATTCTAGTTGATTCTTTTACTTAGTAAAGTGTCTTCATCCTCATCGTACCAAACTATTGATGTACAAGTGGGTGGAGGTTTATGGTGGATGGGAGATGTTCACCTCTTTTATTCATTAGGACAGATAGTCACTGAAATGTGATAATGATACGTGTTGTCACATGATTGGAGAATTAAATTTATTAAATTAAATTAAAATTATGATCAAATTGAAAGAATATATAAATATTAAGGATCAAAGATGTGAGCTTTGCCAACAAGGAGAGGAGGACATGTCCCGTGTGTTTCGTCAATGCCCGTTTGCTGCGAAAATCTGGAGGGCGTTAATCCAAGCCGACAAGTTGAGGGTGTTCATGAATATTCTTGTACAAGAGTGGTTTATCGTTAATATTCATGGCCGAGGTAGTTTTCTTTTAATGATCGCTGTTAGAGCCTGTTATTTGTTATTGTTTGCTGGAAGTTATGGAAGCATAGATGTAGCATATTGCTGGATAGCACCATGTGGAGCAAACCGACTTTCTCGCTGAGTGTTTTAGTTTCAAGGAGAGTATTGCTTCAATGATGATAGAGAACCCAGGGAGAAACGCTTTAGACAAGGCGACTGATCGATGGAATAAACCTGAACAAAATTGGGTTAAAGCCAATGCCGATGGAGCAATGGGAGGGGCGTTGGGTACGGCTGCCGCTGGAGGAGTGATGTGTGATCACCATGGTAATTGGATTCGGGGTTTCTCCAGAAGTATTGGGATATGCAATGCTCTGAAAGTCGAGTTATGGGCTCTCCATGATATTTTAGTGATGGTGTGGAGCATGGGATTTCGGAAAGTGGAAGTGGAGTCCGATTGCAAGACGGCAGTGAGTTTAATCAACAATCGAAGCTCCGGAATGGATGGATGCACCATTGTTAAGCTGATTAAAGATCTGCTCGCGAGAGAATGGGAGGTTAAAGTGAGTTACTCTTGTCGGGAAACCAATATGGTTGCGGACAAGCTTGCGGCAATGGCTAGGGGTCGCGTAATTGGAACGAAGATTTATGAAGAGCCTCCCATCGAGGTGATAGACTTAGATGGGCAAGAAAGAAGCCCCATTTCCTAAGTTGTTGTTTCAGTATTAGCAAAAAAAAAAAATGCAGCAAGTGACCTAATTAAATACATTTAAATAGTTGAGTGACTTGATTGATAAAAATTCAAAAATAATGGTTAAAATAAAAAAGAATTATAGTTAAGTGATCACTAGAATAATTTATCTTATTTTCTATTACCACTCTCTATGTTAGTTAAATGGTGGTAGGCGGTTTAAAGTTTTCATTCAGTCGAGCAGTGGTCAGAAATTTATGAATGAAGTCTAAAACTTTGATATTCTTCTTTTTAAATAATAGGTATATACAAATTTTTATTTTTTAATTTTTCTTAACATATTAAATTAAATTTCACATTTTTTCTTAAATAATAGAATGCACTTTACTCCTAAAGTTTAGTGCATCCGCTCTGTAGTCTAGTATCATAGGTTTGTATCCTCTCTTAGTTTATATGTTATACGACGTAGTGTTTGCCGTTGCCAATCATCATCCCTTTCATTGTTGGTTGTTGGGTTCATGAGGTGTTCAAATGCATCGTAATGGTGCTTCCAAATAGGTGTGTTGAATCCCTTTCCTTTTTTTTACATCGTTGGGTTCATTTGGCGTCAAAGGGAGTAGATATTGGTATAACAATTGTAATCATACATGCATGATACTATGCTAAGTAATCTTAGATTAATCTTATTAATATGATTTTACATTTTGTGAACTAAACTCTTATTAGGAGATTTACATAGCTCCATATAATTTGAATTCTTTCTACATGTAACAAATGTTTGATATTAGCATTAGCAGTAACTGGTAGATTTTGATGACGATAAGTTTAGTTTTTTTAGAGTAAATTATGCGTTTAGTACTTAAACTA